GAAGAAGAGCAGATACTCTGGAGGGAAATTAAAAGCACATTACATTGGGCTCCTGCTGTGCTTTGCCTTTGGAGACATTTCTCTCTCTCAACTGACCTGACTCCCTAATGAAGCATGGAAGCTAGGGAATCCCCCCACAAGTGTGTTTGCTTGCAGAGTTTGCAAGATGGAGATGTCCAGGATACCTGCCTGGCCTGCCTGTACTTCTCCTGCCTGTACTTCTGACCAAATCAACTAGCACCACTGGAGGTCAAATGGGAATTAAAGAAATGGCATTGGCAGGAGCAGGTTTAACACCCCAAGCCTATTAGGGGAGAAAATGCAGCATTATTGATTCCAGCCCCTGACCTTGAAACGATGTAAATAAGAGTGCAGCAACCCTAGAGGAGTTGTAGCAAAATAGTTATAGCACTTCAAGCAGATTAAAAAATACAGTTAATATACATACTTCCCCAGATGCTTGTTTATTATTATGCAAGACATGTTTATTATGCAAAATGATAGAGCAGGGGGAAAAAAAAGCAGAGAAAAAGAAAATGCAAAGACACCCTGAGCTCTTAACGTGACTTGGGTTTTTTCAATGCTGTTTTTTTTTTTTATTGTGCATAATCATTCCCTTATTAGCAGGAATCTTTGAAGTGATTCAAGCTCTAATTTCAGCATTTCAAACTCACAGGTTTATACTGTAAAATCATACTGAGGTCTTGTAAGCAACCCATTCCCCCCCCCCCCCGACCCGTATTCTGTATCTCTGCTAGGGTGTTCTCAGTCTTTCCAATAAATTATGTATCACGAATTGCCATTTTAAAAATAATTAGAACTCTGAGTTAAACAACAAGGAATATCTGAGAGCAGTACATTTTAGAAGAGAAGTGTTATGCACTTGGGGCAAAACCAATCCCAGCTGTAATGCCACTGAATTATACATATCATACCAAGCGCTGCAATTTCAGCTCACTTTGAGAGATTGGGTGGGCCTGTGGAAGCTCTGCAGCACCATGATGAGGCTCTGCTCCAGGAGAACAAGGTTTGCCTCTCAGGCAAAACACTTCACAGGCACTCCCTTCCCCGTGCTCCTATGAGCTGTTGCAGGGGTAACGGAGAGAAGGCTGGGCACTGTGGAGAGAAACTTCACATAGAGAGACTATACAGGAGTGGGAAGCAATTTGGTGGTGAAAACTATTAAGTCCAGAGACAGGAGAGCATGTTCTGTGTCTTCTCCCGTTACGACTAGGCTGTAAACTCACTGGAGCAGGACGTACCTCTTCATTGTGTTTTCCTCTCCCCTGCAACAACCAGTCTTTGGTCTCAGCTTCCTGAGCACTACGACAGTACAAGCAATACCCACTGCTCTTCATTCATTCTGTATATTTTACTTTGGCACAAAATGCTAACAGTGGCTCCTCAGGAGCATCACATTGCTCCCTAAAACAGGTTCTGATAACCTTCATATACCATCAGTCAATTTACAGCTGCTCTACATTACAAGAAACCTCAAACAGGAGCACACCAATGACTCTGCAAGTTTGCTACGAAGACAGCGTTTTGCATCCTATTGTCTGCAAAGCCAGATGCCTCAGACCAAGACCTAATTTTCTTGCCTACTAAGCACCTAATTCCCCAGCAGACCTCAGAGGTAGCAATAAGCTAGTCTGGAGAGAGCGTGTGTGTGGAAATAATCATCACATATCAAGTGATGTAAACAACACACAAAAGTCAAACAGCTGCTTCCTAAGCAAAAAGGCTTTGGCATCTAACACATTCAGGCCTCTGAAGCTGGCTAGGGATCTATGGTTGGCTTCAACCCAGCACCGCAACCCCACACTGTCTCTACCTGACCAGAAGATAGGAGGAAACTCCTTGCTAAAAGTATCAATGTGGCCAAGCACAGTCTTACGTGTTTCTGCAAAGGTCCTTCTCACCAAGTTTAGCTTTACAGGACCCCACTCAGCCCTGAGGGCTGGTTATTCTAAACTCATTCATTCAAGAGCCCATTGGCCCAAACTCAAAGACCTGGCACAAACCACTTCTTTGAGACCAGGCTGATAATAGCCTCTGGTTTTATCCAGGGCAGGGGATGTCAGCCAAGGTCTCAGCTGACGCACAGAGATTAAATAGCACCAACAAAACCCCCACCAAACAAAAATAAAACAAGCCCACAGTGATGATGTGTTCAGTTACAGCCACAATCTGGGCTCAAGAGCAGGAAAAAAAGTTTCACTGGACAGTTGCATTTTATATGAAAGCAGTCCTGGGCCTGAGGGTGTTAGAAGTAGTCCTAGCAGGGCTAGGCCTGAGACAGACAGTAGGGGAAGCAGCCAAGCAGCAGAAAAAAAGTTCACTTATCAATGGATCTGCTTGAGTGAACAGCATCTTTGGGGACTATTGACCCATTTTTCAGAAATCTCTCAGAAAAAGCTAGTAAAAACAGGTACAGGTACATTCACAACACCAAAGGCAACTGGCCTGAGACAGAGCAAAGCTATAGTTCAGGGTCTACAAAGCAAAGGAACAGGGACAACATGTTCTTTGCTGTGGGCAGCAATCAGGTCCAGCCAGCACAGCCAGGGGCCCTGCTCACCCCAGAAAGAAACAGACTGTGAAGTTCTGCTAAAGCAGTTCCCCAGCAGTCTTCCAGACCAAACACGGCCATGCCAGATGTTGGCTTGGAGTGGGATCCTGGCCCCACAAGGAAAGCTGCAGCATCCAAGAGACTGCTTGACCAGGCTGAGCAATTCTCCGCTATACCCAGTTCTCTTACAGGACCCTGATCTCATCCCTTGTCTTTGAAGCTATGACTGGCTTCACCAACACTCCCTGCTCCTAACAGGCTTTATGCAAAAGTTTTTTTCCTTGTCTTGGGGTCTGCTCCAAAGCACAGTGAATTCATTGATTTGCTGCTGTTAAGACAGAGATAGAGCCACCAGTCAACACAAGAAAAGTGTCTAGTGAGTTCCATCTCCCTGGAGTAGGGAGGGGCCAGTAGCATGTGTTTACTGCAAGCAGAAACCTTGGATCATGTTGATGAAATGAACAGTTTAACTCTTATTTGTTCACACAGAGCTGAATGACATCAAGCTGTGGCATGTAATGAGGTCCACTTCATTAACCACTAGCCATGACAGTGGATCCTTAGCCTTCCTTGTTCAACCCTTCCTACTCAACACAGGCACACTTCCTGAGAATAAGCAGGCTCCCTTACACCACCCTCACTTGAATACATGTATGAACTGATGCCTTTTATGACACTTGATATGACTAGCAGATGTGTTTCCTGGACACATGGTCCTCCTGCTGCCCACCATCTCTTGGTATGTCCCTCCCAGGCTTTGTATCATCTCACTACTGCTAGCAAGAAATATTTTCCTCTACATCATCTCTAGTTTTCATCATCTCTCACCTGTCAAACGTTATGCTTCCAACTCTCCATTTCTTCTTTTGCCTGAGCCCCATACCTTTCCCTCCCTTGCACTATTTATTCAGAAAATGCTGACACCTCACTGCTCCAGAAAGATCCCCCCAGGCTGGATGTGGCTCTGTGACACACTGTCTTCCTACAGTCCTCATTTACAGGGCACCTGTGTTCCAAGGAGTCTCAGCATCAGGCCAGGACCCTTTATGCCCAGCACTGCATAAACACAGGGCAAAACATCAGTCCTGATCCCACAACTATGTGTCTAGAGGAAAGCATGCAAAATAGTGCAGTACCACACCACACGTGGTATTACCTTTAGGACAGCTTTACAAAAAGAGGAAGTTTTTGTTGTTAGTAAACCAATGTAATTTATTTAGAAGCAGTCATTTATGTTTACTGGGCTATGAAAGAACAGGAAGCGTCTGGCATGCACAGAGATCCAGATTGATCTCTCTGTCTCTTCTTGACAAGCAGCCAGTTTTGAGACCTATCTCGCCAGGCATACTAACACATCCAGCTTGCTGTTTTCTACCCTGAGACGCTGGGATACAGAGCTTTGTTACCCGAGGGAAAGGGGGAAAGCCCAACCATGTGAGCAGTTTTTTAAACTGACCATGAAAAAACCCCTGGTTGGTAAGAATTAGGAAGAATTGTGTAGGAGCAACTCAAGCTGTTGTCCTTTCAGTGGTCCTATCTCCATTCTCATGTATGCTTTTAAAGCAAAGTAAATACCTAGACAGGAGCAGAATCACTGCGCTGTAAGTTTACACACAGGCAGATGAGATTAGAATCTCAGCTATACACTTTAAAGATATCATAACTACAGAAATGAGAAGTGTATTATTAACTATCACTTTTTACTATGTAGAACTAGAGCAAAGTTATTTGAAGCATAAAAAATTCTGGCAAAGGGCTGCCATATTTAATAAATCACTGAATCAATTATTCACTGTGAAAATCAATTACTTACTTCAAATGAGAATCTTATGAATAACCTCATGCCCTTTCATGCCATCTAAGAAAGTTATAGGGGAATTAGTCAGTAAAAAATGCTTCACTTATCTTTTATGTGCATTAAAAAGACCACAAAAATACAGGGAAATTCTGCTCTGCTGAAGCACTCCACCAACAGAATAGTCCAGATTCATTTTAATGAAGTCAGTGTACAGCTATGGATTTACACTGCAGTCAAAAGCAGAGTATGACCCATTGGGGCACCACATATGATCAGTTATCCCGGCACAATTCAGAAGCAATTCCATTCAGTCCACGCCATTTCACAAATGTGAAACCAGAATATAACCAGCCAACCACACAACCTCCTCTACAACGTGACCTACATTAAGTAACTACTCAAAGGAACACAAAGTGTATCTTCACAGGTCAGGAAATATTGCCATGAATCTCTGTGGAGACACTTTAAAGTGAATATTGCATGGCCCTGAAGCAGCTACCCCCCTTCCTGCTTTTAAAGCTTTGCCGATACGTGACCATCCTCAGAAAACGCTTAAAGTCCCAATGCAGTCTCCTCTCTCCCGCCTACAAAACCAAACCACTCCAGACCCCAAGAGCGCAAAGTACTTACTGAGCTGTAGAGATATCCCTCAGCATTCATGGCAACGTACAGACCTGCCTTCACCCCTTGAATCGCCACCACGCGAAGACCCACAGGAATTAGATTGAAAAGGGCTGTGGAAGGAACAGAAAAGCAAAGGTTATGGAGACATCATCCTGCCTGCCCACTGCTGCTTTTTGCCCCAGGGCCAGCCCATCCCCTTCCTGACTGACAAAAGATACTGAACTGGAATCAAAAGTCCTGCTTCCAGCTACACGAGAGGTCTGCAACCATGGGGCCCACGCTGAAAGCAAGTTTTAAGAAGTACTGAATTTGGCTGCCTCCCAAAAGCCTTAACACACCCATCAGTTTGATCACTGCCTTTGCAGTGCCAAGGGCTCACACGGGCGCTCAAGATAGCACATCTCAACGGATTTCTGTGAGCCAGCTGAGCTGTGGTAACTGCACATGCACATGTCTTTGCCCAGGGCAAACACAATAACACAACTTCATTTCAGGGTGAACTAAACTGATTTGAGCCTCGTCACACTTTCTTGCATTTGCCATATGCTAAAAGAGTGTACAGACAGCAACTGTGGCCAGAAGGATGCAAATTAACTTCACTGTGTGTCTGCCCCTGTGATCCCTGCTGTTAAAAGAATCAAGAAACTCGGGGAAAGATACTGCTCCACTCCAGGACCAGACACTGCTCTTCATTCAGAAGCAGCACTAGACAGGATGGAAGATGAGACCTTTCCATACTCAATTCTACTGCAATCTTATCGATTAAAGCATTGCAACCACTTCCTCACAATTAATTACTTTATTGCTTGATTCCAAGTAGACCTAATGTCTCATTGAAGGACTTCTCCCATGCCCTTATACATAAATGTACTTTCAGGCTTTTACTACATTTCTAACAGAATGGGCTCAAAGAGGAGGGGGCTGTCACCGTTGATGGACTGAACACTGAGGCATTAGCATGGCTTTGTTTCTGCTGAGACTTATAGGACAAGAGTATCCAAATGTTGTAGGACCCCTTGTGCTTCAGCTTACCTGGCTAACTAGACCCTGTCCCAGGAAGCTCAGGATATGAAAAGACAGACACAGGGTCAGGCAGAAACATGGGTGCAGACGCAATGGAAATTAATTCAAGGTCTCTTCTGGCACAACTGCCCTGAAAGGAGAGTATTTTTTCTGGCTCCCTAGTCATGAGGTCAGACTGTCCCTTCCACATTCATGAAGCATTTCACACTGATTTTTAACACAATCATATATTTGCAAAAGCCTACTTAAAACTTTTCAAGACATTTGAAGAGTTGGAATTAGCCCTGGGGAGACCTGTTATTGGGCAGAGCACGCAGTGAACCATTTCCAGCTGACTGTAGGACATCACCCTCTAGCCAATTCATTCTATAGATGATTTACGAAGTTCTGTGCCTGACACATCACACTGGAGCAAGCACAGGACAAAGGGGTCTTCACATAACAGTTGTAGGAGGAACAGTCCTTCTCACTGTGCCATCTCCCAGCCTCTCCATCCCTGAAGATAGACCGCTGCTCATTTGACATCAGTCCTGAAGGATAAAGCAGCTTCTGCTGAAGTGGGCTATTCAAAATGCTATAGCTCCTCAGGACAGGCTATAATGTTAATCCTGGTATGACAGGAGGGAATCAAGTGCAGCTCAACACCACCTCCCACCCCCAAAGAGCCTGGTTAGATGTGCACATGTCAGGTAACACATGGATTTATCTCAACCATTATGTGTTTTCCAAGAACTTTTCTCATGTACAGCCTATGAATTATTGCAATGGGGAGGAGACAGAATTGTGTTTGGATTCCTTTCCAAAGGAAAACAAAAATCCCAAAACATTTAAGGTAAAGATGGAGAAAAGAGAGGAGGGAAAATAAAGAACTGAGTCTGGTGAAAAGAAACCTACTCTCAGCCCCTTTTCATGCTTTTAAGCACCATGTTCATAAAATATGATAGCATGAAGTCTTACCAAAGCCAGTGGCAATAGTTGTGATTTTGTGGGAGAATATCAACAGACATCTACAGCAAATGAAGTCCAGTCTGGGTATTGGTCTGTGAGCGCCTGGAGTCAAGGATGGTGCTACTCTGACACTGTCCCCTGATTAGACAAACATGCCTCAGCATAACTACTCAGCATTTAAGAGCTGTGTTATGGCAGTTCTACCCCTGTGAAGCTCACTGACCAAGGCAGGCTTATATTTCTACCACTTTCTCACTACCTTGAAGGTCTAAAACCCCCTGCAATTAACAAGTCTATTTATAAGCAACTCCCATTCCCTAATTCTCCCCCCAGTGAAAAATGGAGCATATTACTGTTAATAATGAAACAAAACAGGCATCATCATTCATTCCCTACAGCCAATTTGTCTTGCAGAGAAAACTTGTGACAGATCATTCAAAGCATTCATTAGGCAACGAGGTGATAATACCCAGAATTAGTGGGTGAGAAGTTCCACTTGGAAGCACCCACATGTCCCTCAATCTCTTTCTACCTGTACATGATGAGGGAGCACAGAACAATCCTGTCATGCTCTGCATTACAGTAGCAAGACCTGTTCCCAAGCTCCCTGGCACCCTGCTGTACACCACAGTAGCAGCATCCACAATCACTGCTTTTAGGCATGGCAGAGCATATTTCTGCCTGTTTTTCTTCATTACGTCTTACCACTGTCAGCCATTAGTAGAGTTACACCTGATCCTGTTCACTGATGACACATATTGCTTTTAGCAGGCTCCAGTCCCAAATCCCTCGGCCATGAGGATGTTATTCACTGTTATGTTATGGAAGTTCATCAGCTGCATAACAGGTTTTTAAAATCTGAACACATACTGGGCTATGGGACTGGGCTAACTTACTCACAGAATGGAAGAGTAAGGCAAGATGTGCCACATGTAAGATGCAGTCCGTACGCTGATTTAAACAGTAGTAATTCAGAGGAGCTAAACTAATTTATACCAGATGATTCTTTCTAAAGCAAGGCATTTGTGTTCCATGTGAATAAGGAAGAACTAATGAAGGATGCAACAGGCATGAGCAGTCTTGGTGCACCATGAGATGGGGAGGTTTAAGATCCTGAGGGAAGCGAGGAAGGCTGCTAAGATGATAAAGAGGCTGTGGTGCAACATATGAGAGAAGAAACTGAGGGAATTGGGTTTGCCTAACTTTAAGAAGTGAAAGCTAATGCTGTCAGAGACAGACTCTCAGAGGAACACTGAGAAAGGACAAGAGGCACTAAACAAAAGCCTGAAAGAAATTATGATGGGATGTAAAGAAAATTATCCCTGAGAACAGTGCAGCACTGGAACCAGAGAGGTTATGAAGATATGGAATAGCTCATTCCTGGAGACATCTGAAACAACTAGACAAGGCTCTGTAGCTGAGGATAACCCAGCTTTGAGTAGGATGTTGGCCTGGAGGCCTCCAGAGGTACTCCCAAGTCTTAATCTTTGTGTTTCCGGCTAGAAAGCCCCAAACAGCAGCCTGGTCTAGTGGAAGGTATCTCTGTCTATGGGAGGTGGGTTGGAACTAGATGATCTTTAAGGTCCCTTCAAATCCAAACCATTCTATCATTCTATGATTCTATAAACAATATGCTAGATACGATGGGCTGTTTCCACCTGGTCAGTACAGCTGACCTATCCTTTATGTACTGTCCATTTGCT